GCAAAAAAAAACAGACCGCGCCGAGGCACCCCTTGAACGGCATCAGGGCGAGGGCCACGAGGATTGCACGCCATCGTGCTGGGCCGTGCCCATGACGCCGCATGTTCCGGCCTGGCGGGGTCAGTCATAGTCTCATCGTCTCAAGGACTTGGCGGCTTACCGTTGGCCCCAGCTCATCGTTGATGGCCGAAACGTCTCCCGATATCAATGGCACCGGCCCGAAAGCTGGCCCAGTTGTTCCGGCAGTCTGTGCAGGCGCCGATCCGGACGCCCTTGTGGCTTCCTGGCATCATGGGTCCCGTGACGAGGTGCAAGATGGGCTTGTTGGCAGATATGCCGCCCATGAGCTGCGCTGGCGTCGTCTTGTCGCAGCCTGGGGCCGTCAGTCGTGCAAGGTAAGAGGGGGTGCCTGACCCTTGCAATCTCACCTCCTATCAGAACAACAGCGTCACATGGCTGCGCAGCAATCATCTCCTCCGTGTCCATGCTCATGAGGTTTCGCAGATACATTGAGGTCGGACTCGAAAACGACTCGTGCAGACTGATCGTGGGAAAATCGACGGCCAGACCCCCGTTCAGCTGTACACCCCGCTTGACGGCCTCAATGAGCTGCGGAATGTTGGCATGGCAGGGATTGAAGCTGGAATACGTGTTCACAATGCCAATGATGGGCCGTGAGAGAGCGTCGTCGCTGTAGCCGAGGGCCTTGATGAAGACTTTGCGCAGAAAAAGCGAGAAGTGAGCGTCTCCGTAGGATGTGAGGCCCTGGCGAAGACCGCCTTGGGTTGTGGAGATGGGCGTGGAGAGATCATAGTCGGCTAGAGGGTCAGCTGAGCCTGCGCCTGGTTGATGTTGGTCTGCCATGGCTGAGAGTTTCAGAAAGTGCACAAAAGAATGTCACAATGGTCGTAGTTCATATTATACATCATAAAGCATGAAGCCCGACAGGTGTTGTGAAATACACCTGGCTGGATTGGCTGGGCGACCTGACGTCGGTTTTCCGATGCGGGGACGGGAATGTCGCGATCGCCACCCATCCGCCGGCGGAGGAGGGGGGGCGGAGAATGTCCGCCGCGTGGTGCCAGCACGGATTAGTCCGTCTGCCCGATGCAATGCACATCACACCAACGTCTGATTGACATTGACCAACTGTGTGTGAGAAGGCGGGAACTGAAAGAACGATAGACAAGATTATCACATACATCAATCAATACTGATACTCCCACTCATCCTCAACATCACCATCACCATCGTCTCGGTCATCCCACCAGCCACCGTGCTCCTCACTCATGTGCTGGTAGATGCGGTCATACCCGACGTCTTGACCACACTGGAAGCACCAGTGCGCATCACAGTTCGGGCAGGTGATGTGATCGCAGCCACTGATCTTCTCCGTCATCGTGCTGCATCCGGGGCATTCGCGCATCACCATGGCCACCTTTCTCTCCGTGGTCTCGGCATGCGGCATCTCACACTCCCCGCATCGCCAGTCTTGCACGTCTGCAGGCGCGCCCTGGGCGCACACTCTTTCGGCGAACTCCTTCGCAAACCCGCACCCGGCGCACCAGGCGTAGATCCAGGCAGGATTGGCCACGGCCTCGCGAAGCCCGCCAACGTGGACGAGCCCATACCTGTTGGCCACGTGTGCTGTAGGCTGTCGTCGACAGAACGGGCACGAAAGCGCTGCCATGTTGAGAACCCTGCCCCGTGTGTTCAGACCGTACCAGCCGTCCAGGCAAGAGGTGCAGATCTGAGAGCCGCAGCCTCTCCTGCCGCAGGCAGCCCGGAGGTCGGTCTTGCGCAGGTCAGAGAAGCAGAGCGTGCATGTGCCAGACTCGGACTGGCGTTGGTCTACCCAGCCCCGCAGACACGAAAGCAGAGCTTCCTGATTCTGCACAGTCTTGCCCTGGATCGTCAGACTCGTCGCGAAAGCTGGGAGAATTTCGACGTTGGAAGCCAACGAGTCGATATCCTTGACACTGGAAATGGTGTGGAACAGAGAACGGCCGTTGAAAGGCTCCTCGAGGGCATTGCTGTCGTTGCGGAGCAGCCACTGCGACCCGTTCTCCTCCCTCATTCTCGTGACATTGGTCTCGTACTCAATCACCGTGACGAGGCCGGTGACACATGCCGGACACTTGAAAGAGCCTTCATCAAAGTCGTGGGGACGGTATTCGTTGGGCCAAATCATTCGGTTGAGGCAAGTTGTGCACTCCACGGTCGGCGACGCTCCAATGCCAAGGTCAGGCTGACTGGCATGGAGGCAATAGTAGCACTTGGGCCGCACCCGCAGCCTGTCCGGGGTGTATACGACGTACTGAGCACGGCAGGTCATGACGGAGCATTCGACCCATGTTGCAGGCGTCTTCTCGTCGTCGTGCGCCGTGACGTTGGTCCACACGCATTCCGCGTGGTTGTCCAGCTTCACACAGCGCTGGCAACGGCAGTCGTAGTTGGACTCACATACGCCACAAATGCCGCCCCTGCCCATGATGGTCACTGACCGTGGCATGTTGCAACGTTTGCACGGAGCGACAGGGCCGAGAGCCACCTTGGACTTGGAGGGCTGCCAACCGATCCGCGCCTGGAGGGTTGTCTGCAGGTTCTGCTCCAGCATCTTGTAGTCGACCAGAGTGCGGAACAGACGGCGATCTTCATCGCAAAGAACGTGGGCATCAGGCCTGGGGCGTTTGGCCGTCCCTTCCGAGACACGCATCTCGAAATCCCTGTCTGCGTCGAGGAGCAGAAACAGGCAGCCAAGGTTCCAGTTTTCCGTTGTCGTCAAGTTATTCCACTTGTCACTGAACGCAATCATTTCTTGGTCAGCGACCGCTCTCAGCGCCAGGATTCCCATGCGAAGGGCAAGGGCGG